CAGAGATTGGCATTTTTCTAGTGCAGAACAATGCTGATTTTGGCAAAAGTGTAAATGAGCCTGAACTCTTGGTCAACAATCCTAGAGGTCTCCGAATGTACACAGGCATCAAAATTAGATCATGAATATTTCTAATGTCTACCCGATGTTCCCTGAATTCTGGTTTTAATCCTCCATTTTCTTGGGCTTTGCTTTATTTAAACACAGGGGATATTGATTTTCGAAACAAACTTTATACTTCCAAGATCAATTTGTCCTGCTGTGTTTAAATGTACAGTACATGCATTTCGATGCATTCAGATTATCTAATCTGTCCTGAGACACACAGAATTCCATTTTTTTCTAAAAGCAGATGAAGTGAATGCACCTCAACACAGGTAAACGCACAGTGTGAATTATACCATTCAAAATAGTTACGTACATTTACTGTACATGTGTTTAGAAATGTCATATAAATGCATGTAATTGCATGCTCATGTGAATGAGGTCTGAATGGTGTAGTGAACCAAATGGTTCTATACAAACAAGCACTTAGTGATGAGTTCTTTTTGCTCCTATTTTAGACAAACCCAATCTACAGCTTCTGATGATTTTGACTTTGTGGCAGCTGTTCCTGTCAATGGCTTCCGAAGTGGCAATACAGCTGACGCTGGAGATTTAAACACCACTGCTAGGCGCATTGAGCATGGAGCACTTACTCACCATGATACAGTTATATGTACCAAAATATCAGATCTGTAATTGGGTTTTTGCGGACTACCAACTAATGTTGCTCTGCTGTAGTATCAGAAAGTTCTCCCAGCAGACCTTCCAGTGGTGGAGCAGGCACATTGAGTGACACAAATAGTAATTGTTTAATAAAATAACACTGTATGTTTTTGGAGGAAACATGATAAATACAAATGACTGACATCTAATTCTGCTATCTATATTTAAAAACACCAGTCATAATCAGTTAGATTCATAAAAGTCTTTATATAGGTTGGACTTGTTAAAAAGAAATTTTGAGTAATAGAACATGATTATTAGAAAAAAAAAGTAAATACTGTAAATATATCGCTGAAAGACAAGTCACCCTATATACTTACTCAATATCTCTGGTATACATATGACTTCACTAAGCAGATGGCACTCAGTCATATCATGTCTTGATAAGAATTTGTTCAATAAAGGAATATATAACAGTCAGAAAAGGCCTATGACATCAATGAATGCACTACATATTTCGCCATTTCGGTATGTACAGATGTCAATCACAGTGAAAAGGTGCAATCCCTCTGAGTAAATAACTTGCGTCTTAGATATTATAAGCAAATGAACATGATTAGGAAAATACATTCATTTGTAATAACTTGGCCATGTTTAGCCAATAATAAGAATTGGGTAGTTCATTGATGATTCAGAGTTCCCATCATGGTCTTCCTTAAGTTGTAACCTACCATAAAAACAAGAATATATGTTATAACTATGCAATGATAAAAAAAAAAAGACACAACATCAGTAAGGTTAGTAAGGCTTATTACCATGCTCAGATTGAAAGTTGACCTCTATGCAGATATAAAATGATTTAATTCCGTAATGCAATTATTAAAATCATTATATTTATTTTCAAAGACAACAGCTATAAGTACATGAATCTTTCTTGGTAATGGCCTTATGTAAATGTATACAAAGCAGCATCCAGGCTGGGACAGCAAGAGTAACCACTCTATTGCTCTTTTGTTTTTCACAGTGCTGTCAGTCTAGCTGTGTGGACATGCTTACAGGAGGGGAGAGCACAAGGATATACTAATGTGTCTGCATGTTCATTGCCAAGTCATAGGTTGGAGTAGTTTCCTGACCTGGTTGTACTGCTTAATTGTACTGTAATCTGTAAGAAGTTTCTGACCAGGAAGGGGGGTCTGGATTAAAAAAACTGACTAAACAGAATTACAAATTCTTTTTCAGGTGGAACACTTGGGCAACATAGACATTTGGTTTCTGTTTCAGATACTGTTCTTTGAGAAATCAGGTTCAATGCCTTGTAGTGACTGCTCCAGCATCTACACAGAACTCAAACCCACTAAGTTTGTGTAGTTGAAAACCTATAGGTGTTAGCCGTCTAGCTATATGAGGCCAGTCATAAAATCAATGCGGTAGTAGACTGTCCCTTTTGGTCTGCAGCTTGTCATGAATTATGCAGACTATTTAGTCATGCTCTACTGCATATGCTTGCACATGAATCTTCAGCCGGTTAACGATTTGTATGCCTGATTTCCTGCTATCTGCTGGTTTAGACAATTTTTATAGATGTTCCTACAGCACAAGCACCAAAAATCTATTCAAACTGCAATGGCCCATGGATATTGTTAGGCTATTCTGTGATATTCATTATGTAAAAATAAATGGAACTCCAGTTACCTAAGATTTATGAAACCATATTTTAAGTCATTGAAGGGACAAGAGAGCGATAACTCAATGATTCTGGTTTCACTAATCAATCACTGAAGATTTTGTTTTCTTTTTTACATGGTGAATCTGTATATTAAACAGAATAAAAGAGGTCTTTTTAAAGAATTGTGTTTCTGGCTAGAAGAAACCTAACTCACCCCTTAATTTTAAAAGGAAAACTGAATAATTTAATATGTATATCTTATTTTATAACAGTATGTTAAAACCCAATTGCTAAAGTCATTTTCTGGATTTTTTTAAATCTGCAGCTTTTATTAAAAAAATGACTGGTGATCTTTAAATAGGGGTCCTTGTTGAAGCACTTTCTTTTATAGGGTGATGATGTTCTGTCACTGTCTTCTGACTGAATCACCTTGTCAGATGGGCTTCCCATGGAGACTACAAGTGGCTTTTTCAACATACAAGGTCCACTGTTGTCACCATCAGGAAACCTACCAAGAAATGCCATGTTGGAATGCATGTACACAGAAGGTGGCAGCAAGGAAGCTGCAGAAGATATGAATTTCACACCATTTATTTGCTGCATTTTATCTTAAAAACATGATGACTGTTAATGATAAAGTCATAAATGTTATTCAGTTAGAGCTGTGTTTCTCAAACTTTTTTCAGTCAAGGCACCCTTTACAATTCTGCACAATCTCAAGGCACCCATTACAAAATGTTAAAAACTAAACTAACAGTTTTACAGAACACAGCAATATCTGCACATGTGGGACACCAAACGTCAGAGGTGATTTATTCTTCCAAAGCAAATACACCTTTGCACACTGGTAATGACTAGTATTCCATTGTTTCTCTTCTCCCTCAGTTTCTCTCCTTCAGTCAGCTAATGTGACCCCAGTGCTGATGGACAGGGGCAGAGAAGAGGCAAGCAAGGATGCTGTGCAGGAGCCCAATGTCCTTATCAACTGATGACAATGGCTTTTCATGTCGTCGGCAGCTAGAAAGTTGTAATGATGCACAATGGAAACCTGTGGCTTTATGTAACTAAAAGGCAGGCTTGTATACAAGTTTTGGGCAATTTTTAGGCATTTTTCCAAGGTACCCCTGAAGATACCTGAGGGCACCCTACTTGAATAAAGGCAGAGTTAGAATTTACAGCTACTTTAATAAGTAACTTTGATGTGACCTTTGCATTGTTATTTGCTTTAAGAATTATATCATCATAATGGTAGTGGCTACCTGCATGTCAGACAGTAAAAATGGCATCTTGTTGAATGGCTGAATCCATAAAACTAATTGTATCTAGAGACTGTGCTGTTACAATTTGAAAAAACTAAATACAAGGAATTAGTATTTGTACTTGCAATAGCACAAAAACTCAAGGTAGCCATACGCTGGGCAAAATTCAATCAGTGGTTGTGCTTTCAGCACCATTCCACCTACCATCCTTTGATTAAAAAATGGAGGGTATTCTACACCATTTAAGATCCTTGGATCATATACTAGTTATCGACTAGATTATATATACTAGATTTCATCTGCACAGTTCTCACAATTTTATGGGGAATAAAACAGTGCATGGAGCACCAGGTTCGCTTAAATAGTAAGTGTTTCCCTGACACAGGGAGCATTGTTTTTTTCTGTACATGCATTGGGGTTATATTCTTTGAACAGTGTAAGAAAAAAAGGCATACAGTGATTGGTGTTGCTGTTCATCTTGGGTGATGGGTGGGATTGGGTAGAAAACTATACTTTTAGTACAGTTATCCTTTAAGTAGATCCCCTCCCCAGAAATTACCTGTCAACACAGTCTCTTTACCAAAAGTCTCCTGAATGGGATCTGCATGGAACAATCTCCATTCATCTCTATGGTAAGGACATCAGCTATTTGTCTAAATGGGGAATGGCCATCCAAAGAAATGAACAGAGATTCAGAATCAGAACTCAACCAGGCACTTTGGGTAAACAGGCAGTGTGGCTACAAGCAAAAATAAACATTTCTGAGGATAAGAAACACTTTGATGGAGCACTGGGGGAAGGAAGCACATAATCAAATTATCTAATTAGATTTAAAGCAATAGTAAAGTCCTTGTATTGATTTATACCTACAGGTGAGCCTATAATAAAGCCTACCTGTAGGTACAGTAAATATCTCCTAAACGTGCACCGTTTAGGAGATATTTACTTTATTAGCACTAATGACACCACTGGCATGTGCACACTGTGATCTCAATGGACTGCATAACATCCATTGAGATAGTTGTGCTAAGACCGGGACTTCCACACATCTCGGCTCGGCCATTCAAACGGCCGTAGCCTGCAAACCTGGAAGGAGGACCATGTGAAGATCAAAGCCCTGTCAGTAGTGACAGCACACCTCTGGAGGGCTTCCTTTTAATTTATATCTTTGATAATGTGCTAGTATGCAGTGCAATGGGTGGTTTACTACCACTTTAACTAACTGTTACCTTCATATGGCAAAATGTGTATTGTGAAATTTGATTTGAAAAAAAAAAAAAAATACTTACATCCAACTAGAAGAGCTTCTCATAGCAACACTCACAGTGAACCACATCCCTATGAATAAAGATGCTGTCAATTAAATCTCCCATTGGCTTGTGGCAAATTCCACACTGTGAAGATAAACACACAATGACATATGATCAGACATACATTCATACAAATACAGTGAATTATTGCCTCATAAATTCTGCAGACAGAACAGAGTGTGGGTATAGTGCAAAGATATTACCATGTTCCCTCAAAGTTATCACCTTTTATGTACGAGGGGCCTCCACACATTGTTCTGTGCATTGGGAGACTTAGGATGAACCCTGATCATAGCAAAGGTGATGGAGTTTCTCAAAGTACACAGGTAATGTCATAAGGCCCTAATCAGCAACTTAATTCTATGTCTCAAGTTAGCTATACAAATTAGGATTCTCTTGTTCAGTATACCGGTCAGAATACCCAAAAAGTGACTGCACCTGCTCAACTGCACGAACTGTTTGGCTGAGAATTTTTCAAGTAGTTTCGATATTCAGGTCCAAGCGAATGAGCCAGGTGGTGAAAACAGGGTCACCCACTGCTCAAATTTCAGTAAATTCTGCAGGATCTGGTTAAAATTCAAGCCATGTATGGCCAGCATGAGCTTCGTAGGCACAGCAATATATTTGTCGGTGAAGATGATGTTTGGCAAAACTAAATCTTTATACCATGAATAACTGCGGAAATGTGAGGAGGCCAGTTTGTGCGGTGCTTCAGTCTAATTCCATGAGGAGCACTCTGGGTCTAGAGCAGCAAAAACCACTGGGCAGCCTTGGGAGAAAGGACCACTGGCTCAGGAGCTGCTCCATTTCACCAGTTAGCAAATATGATCCTGTCTAAAGACTTGTAGAAAGTTATCTATCATTACATAAGCTATCAATCAATACTTGATCAATCAACTTGTCTAATTAATCCATCAAAATTTTACATATATATTTATACACTCACCGGACACTTTATTAGGTACTCCTTGCTAGTGCTAAGAAAATATCATCCACACTATTACACCACTACCAGCAGCCTGAACCGTTGATACAAGGCAGGATGGATCCATGATTTCATGTTGTTTATGCCAAATTTTGACCCTACTATCTGAATGTTGCAGGTGAAATCGAACGACCATTCTCCTCTGACATCAAGAAGGCATTTTTTTGTCCACACAACTGCTGCTCAATGGAAATTTTCTCTTTTTTTGAACCATTCTCTCCAAACCCTAGAGATGGTTGTATGTGAAAATCCTAGTGGACCAGCAGTTTTTGAAATACTCAGACCAGCCCGCCTGGCACCAAGAACCATGCCATGTTCAAAGTCACTTAAATCCCCTTTCTTCCTCATCCTGATGCACAGTTTTAACTTTAGAAAGTCGTCTTCTCCACATCTACATGCCTAAATGCATTGAGTTTCTGCCATGTGATTGGTTGATTAGCAATTTGTGTTACCAAGCAATTGAAGAGGTGTACCTAATAAAGTATATATATATATATATATATATATATATATATATATATATATATACACACATACTGTATATTCAGGTATTTATATGTACATTTAGTAGTTATAACCGGTATTTTGTATTTTTACCTTAAAACAATACTCATGGCAGTAGATATTAAGGTGATCTAGCATGATCTTAGCACAGTCTTTGATTTCACGACCACAGTAAGTGCAGGGACCTTCGTCAGATCTAAAAAGCAAACAGGTATGTTAATTGATTTTTTTTTTTTTTTACAGAAATAGAGCTGAAGTTTAGACTTACCCAACTACTAAAACTGGCCATTCACTGGTAGATTTTCGGATGGGAAAAAGTTTGTTGGTTCATCCGACAATGTCTACAAAGACTGGATGAATGTCGGTACATTGTACTTCAAAAATTTGTTTTTAACATTTGATTTCGGAAAGAACATAATGTCCAAAACAAAAGCCATACAGTGCCTTGAAAAAGTATTCATACCCCCTTGAAATTTTCCACATTTTGTCATGTTACAACCAAAAACATAAATCTATTTTATTGGGATTTTATGTGATAGACCAACACAAAGTGGCACATAATTGTGAAGTGGAAGGAAAATGATAAATGGTTTTTAACATTTTGTACAAATCAAAAATCAATATATGAAAAGTGTGGTGTGCATTTGTATTCAGCCCCCTTTATACTGATACCCCTAACATCTAGTGGAACCAATTGCCTTCAGAAGTCACCTAATTAGTAAACAGAGTCTACCTGTGTGTAATTTAATCTCAGTATAAATACTGATGTTCTGTGAAGCCCTCAAAGGTTTGTTAGAGAACATTAGTGACCAAACAGCATCATGAAGGCCAAACACACCAGACAGGTCAGGGAAAAAAGTTGTGGAGAAGTTTAAAGCAGGGCTATGTTATAAAAAAATATTCCAAGCTTTTAACATCTCATGGAGCACTGTTCAATGCATCATGCAAAATGGAAAGAGTATGGCACAACTGCAAACCTACCAAGACATGGCCGTCCACCTAAACTGACATGCAGGGCAAGGAGAGCATTAATCAGAGAAGCAGCCAAGAGGCCCATGGTAACTCTGGAGGAGCCGCAGAGATCCACAGCTCAGGTGGGAGAATCTGTTCACAGGACAACTATTAGTCGTGCACTCCACAAATCTGGCCTTTATGGAAGAGTGGCAGGAAGAAAGCCATTGTTGAAAGAAAGCCAAAAGATGTCCAGTTTACATTTTGCGAGAAGCCATGTGGGGGACACAGCAAACATGAGGAAGAAGGTTTTTCTGGTCAGATGAGACCAAAATTGAACTTTTTGGCCTAAAAGCAAAATGCTTTGTGGAGTAAAACTAACACTGCACATCACCCTGAACATGCCATCTCCTCCGTGAAACATGGTGGTGGGAGCATCATGTTGTGGGGATGCTTTTCTTCAGCAGGGACAGGGAAGCTGGTCAGAGCTGATGAGAAGATGGATGGAGCCAACTACAGGGCAATCTTAGAAGAAAATCTGTCTGCAAAAGACTTGAGACTGGGGTGAAGGTTCACCTTCTAGCAGGACAATGCCCCCAAACATTCAGCCAGAGCTACAATGGAATGGTTTAGATCAAAGTATATTCATGTGTTGGAATGACCCAGTCAAAGTCCAGACCTAAATCCAATTGAGAATCTGTGGCAAGACTTTAAGATTGCTGTTAATAGACGCTCTCCATCCAATCTGACAGAGCTTGAGCTATTTTGCAAAGAAGAATGGGCAAACATTTCACTCTCTAGATGTGCGAAGCTGGTAGAGACATCCCCAAAAAGACTTGCAGCTGTAATTGCAGCAAAAAGTGGTTCTACAAAGTATTGACTCAGGGGCTGAATACAAATGCACGCCACACTTTTCAGATATTTCTTTGTAAAAAATTTTGAAAACCATTTATCATTTTCCTTCCACTTCACAATTATGTGACACTTTGTGTTGGTCTATCACATAAAATCCCAATAAAATACATTTATATTTTTGGCTCTAACATGACAAAATGTGGAAAATTTCAAGGGGTATGAATATTTTTTCAAGCACTGTAAACAATGTTAGAAATTCTTTGCTTCGTAAAAAGAAATTCCATCCTGCCCCTTTGAATTTTTTGATCATATGCTCAAAAATGAATGTCAGTTTGACCATACTGATGATTAAAGATTGCAACAAATGGTCAAAAACACAAATTTTTTAACAAAATTCTGCTAGTGTAGGGACAGCTTAAGTGAGCAATGTGTAGGAGTCAGTTGACAAAACAGCAGCTATCAGACTTCAAGTGACCTTTTAAGTGCTCAAGCTCTAGTTCTAGGCTCGTACGAAGTAAATATAAATGGGGAAAACACAAAGCATTCATACTCAAGCTTTCACAGTGACAATATGAAAACCAGAATACTGAGATTTTTGCATAGGTCCAGTTTGGACTGAATCCAGTGGACAGGAACTCAGAATATACAACGTCAAACTCAGAGATTATGCAGTGCTATAGCAGTAGTGTTTTCTCAGTGGAACTTCACTCAACATAAAATGGTCAACTGATTCCCATAAGTCCCTCAGTTTACCTCCTTGGTGCACTGCTGTACAGATAACTAGAACTGCTGCTGTAGGATGTCTCAGAGTCACCTGAGAAATCTGGGAGACGTCTGTAAAAGGATGAGAAAAGACATCAGAAACACTAGACTGGCAGGGCATACAAACCAACATCTCAGAATTCCTTTTACAGTTAACATAGACCCATTTGCTGCAGGCAATTTAAAAGTGTCTCTACTTCTCTATGCTCACCATTGCAGAAAGTGGAACTTGTGAAGCAAAGCGGTGCCGCAGCATTTGCCATTATGTGTAAATCTGCGCAGTAATCTTATGATTTTTTTTCCAGGTTTAGCATTTGTTTGCCTTGGTCTTTAGGCAGCAACTGATTGTGTATCTGCTGCACCAAGTTACTAATTTCAAATTTTGGGCTGTCACCAAAACAGGAGCAGAGGGGAAATCTTCCAGTAGGGACAATAGTTCTAGTGACAACCAAGGATTCCTGCACTTTGGATGGATTTCCTCTCACTTCCTGTTTTGGCTATGGGGCAGAATATAAATGGAAATCTTTCAATTGGCGCACAGATGTCAAAAACAAAAGAGAAAGGGGTTATAACTAGGGGTGCACCGAAATTTCAGTGGACGAAACGTTTCAGCCGAAAACACCCCTATCGGCTGTTGGCCAATATGGAAATAAGCACCGATACAGGTGCCAAAATTAACCCTGCCCCCCTAGCTGCTGCCGCCACTCGGTAGTTCTTACCTGAGAGACCACTGAACGATCCCAGCGCTGGGCATAGAGATAAGTGAAGGAAAGATGGCCTCCACTCATCTCTATGCCCTTGGAGGACCGGAATTATGTCACTTCCGGTTCTGGTGCTTTGATCTAGTGCTTTAAAAAATATTGCCTTGTTTACAATGATTTTTTTTGATCTAATGCTTTACATTGTAGAGGAGAAATGTGGGGTCTGACTCACCCCACATCTCTCCATAAAGAGGACCTGTCACTAATTATTTCTAATCACAAGGGATGCATGCATTCCTTGTGATAGGAATAAAAGTGATTAAATTTTTTTTTTTAAGAGACAGTGTAAAAAATAAAAATTAAAATACATTTTAAAAAAAAGTTTAAAGTGCCCTCCCCCCGTGCTCGCATGTAGTGGTGAACACATATGTAGGCCACGCCCACATATGTAAACGGTGTTCAAACCAGACATGTGAGGTATCACCACGAATGTCAGAGCAAGAGCAATAATTCTAGCACTAGACCTCCTCTGTAACATTACACTGGTAACCTGTAGAAATTTTTTAAGTGTCACTCATGGAGATTTTTAAGTACCATAGTTTGATGCCATTCCATGAGCGTGCGCAATTCTGAAGCATGACATGTTGGGTATCTATTTACTCGGTGTAACATCATCTTTTATATGCTACAAAAAAATTGGGGTATATATTGTGGGGGGGTTTAATCATTAAAGTGTATTTTTTTACAAAAAAATTGCGTTTGAAAAAATATATTAATTTTTAAAAACTGTCCATTCCGGTTTTGGTTTTTGGCCAAGTGCATCCTGGTTTCAGTACCAGAATTTCCATTTCCGTGCACCACTAGTTGTAACCCTCCCTTATTTTATCTAAATGAAAAAAAAAAGTTCTGCCTTAAGTTTAATTTTGTTAGAGGTTTTTACTAGTCAGCAAGTTCTTAATAAACTCTGTAGGAGCCCTAGGGTTCCACAGAAACCTGATTGAGAAAGGCTGCTCTGTAGAAACCCTTCCTCCAAGACTGCTTTTTAAACGGCATGCTGCAGAATCATATGACTCTGTTTTAGAAGACCGCTTCATAAAACTTTGTTTAATTTTTATAAGCTGAGGTTTTAAATGTAAATACTGGACATTTTTCTGCCAAACTGCATATTTTTCTGATTCTCTGACTTTTACTTTAAGGGATCCTATTTATGCTAACTTTACATTTATATATATGGAACAAAAGCAATTAAAACTAAATGATCAATACTCATATTTAACATATGTATAAATATGGATTACACATATATAGATCAGCATGGGCCCCCCCAGTGGAAACTATTAGAAATTAAAATAATTTGAAAATATTGGCAGAAATTAAAATAATTTAAAAATATTGGCAGCTATGTAATAAGAGTTGAATCCAGGCCATGGACTTGGTTTGTGCTTACATCTGTACTGTGATAGCTGTAGAATCAGTGCAGTGCAGATGAGACAACCTAGATATGTTCCCAGGGCATAGAACTGGGAGGTTTAGATTCAGATCATGCAATCAGGGTTATACAGATGTAAGTCTGTTCACTTCTTGTATATGATAAATAAAAACACGTCTCACCCAGCAGTGGTTGGAGATTTCAGATTATCTCTTGTGTTGACATACTCTTTTACAAAAAGGATTCCTTTATTGCTGTCAGAGTAAAATAAAACTTGTAAATTTAGGACCAGTTGTCATAAACACATTTGCAATACTCAGCTGAGCAATGAGGGTTTCAAACAATAAAGAAGTGTAATGATAGAACTTCTAAATTGCCTTCAATTCTTCTGCACTTCATCTAGTTTAACTGCTGAATTCTTTTATTCTTGTTATATCAGAAATACAGCAAAATACTGTCAAGAGAGCAGACTGACAAAAAAAAACGTTTGGAATGTAGATCCTTTATTCTGTTGTACTGTATGTATTGTATAAAAAAAAAAATCATTTTCACCTCTGTGGTCATGTCAAGCTAACAAAATTGACACAAAGCAGCTTTATAAACCAAAATTACATTGATGAAAAAAAATCCTGACCACTCATCGCCATTTCAAAAATATCCACTAGGTGTCAGACAAGGTGAACATGACCACTGCCTAGTACCTGATGGCAATCACACCTGAGCAGATCATATTCCAGGTCAGTTGGGAACATTTTTTTTTCAGGCTTTTTACAAGTGTTTTTGCACAAGTATCAAGTTTCGGGAGTTTGTTTCCTGGGCTGGGCAAGGGGAGGAGAGCACTTCTAGAGGAGGAAAGGAATTCCTCAGGTGTAAAAACATGCAAACAAGTACAGATTGCACATTTCCAGGCACTCCTATTTGGTCCTATGGGACCAAAATTCCTTAATGTGCCATCATGTGGCCATGTGCAGGGCATAGAGCACAGCCCGACTGAGCATACAATTGTAAATAGTAAATAGGCACAGCCTTAAATAGGAACAATCAGAAAGAATGGGATTCTGCATGTTGAGCATAGCCAGCAGCAGTGTCGCTAGGGGTATGTGGACCACACTCGGGTGACACCTGCCAGAGGGGTGACACCCAGGGCCGTCTGTCAGACTGCCTCCGTTGCTCGCTGCCACTAACGCAGCAGAGCGGAGAGCAGGAGGAAGAACACGTCACTGAAAAAAGGGCGGGAGCTGCTGAAGTTAACTTTCAAAATTAACCAGCTGGTGCTTGTTTGCTGGGTGGTCCTAGCAACCAATCACCAGCTTACTAATATGAAGAATTAACTCCAGCAGCTCCCCACTTCTATTCAGCGCTGCGGTCTCCCACTCTGCATGCTGAGTAAGGTAGGAAGGGGCAGAGCTGCTGAAGCTATGTAATGTGAAGAAGCGGGAATAGCTTCAAGGGGGCTTTGTAATGTGCAAGGAGGCTGTGTAATGTAAAAGGGTCCAGAGGTGCAGGGAGCTGTGTAATGTAAAGAGGTCCAGAGGTGCAGGGGGCTGTGAAGAAGCGGGAATAGCTTCAAGGGGGCTTTGTAATGTGCAAGGAGGCTGTGTAATGTAAAAGGGTCCAGAGGTGCAGGGAGCTGTGTAATGTAAAGAGGTCCAGAGGTGCAGGGGGCTGTGTAATGTAAAGAGGCCCAGAGGTGCAGGGGGCTGTGTAATGTAAAGGGGTTCAGAGGTGCAGGGAGCTGTGTAATGTAAAAGGGTCCAGAGGTGCAGTGAGCTGTGTAATGTAAAAGGGTCCAAAGGTGCAGTGACCTGTGCAATGTAAAGGGGTCCAGAGGTGCAGTGAGCTGTGTAATGTAAAGGGGTCCAAAGGTGCAGTGAGCTGTGTAATGTAAAAGGGTCCGGAGGTGCAGTGAGCTGTGCAATGTAAAAGGGTCCAAAGGTGCAGTGAGCTGTGCAATGTAAAAGGGTCCAAAGGTGCAGTGAGCTGTGCAATGTAAAGGGGTCCAGAGGTGCAGTGAGCTGTGTAATGTAAAGGGGTCCAGAGGTGCAGTGAGCTGTGTAATGTAAAGGGGTTCAGAGGTGCAGTGATCTGTGTAATGTAAAGGGGTTCAGAGGTGTAGGGAGCTGTGCAATGTAAAGGGGTTCAGAGGTGCAGTGAGCTGTGCAATGTAAAGGGGTTCAGAGGTGCAGGGGCTTTGTAATGTAAAGGGCTCCAGAGATGCAGGGAGCTGTGTAATTAAAAGGGTCCAGAGGTGCAGGGAGCTGTGTAATGTAAAGGGGTCCAGAGGTGCCGGGAGCTGTATAATGTAAAGAGGTCCAGAGGCGCAGGGGCTGTGTAATGTAAAGAGGTCCAGAGGTGCAGGGACTGTGTAATGTAAAGAGGTCCAGAGGTGCAGGGGCTGTGTAATGTAAAGAGCTCCAGAGGTGCAGGGAGCTGTGAATGTAAAGAGCTCCAGAGGTGCAGGGAGCTGTGTAATGTAAAGGGCTCCAAAGGTGCAGGGAGCTGTGCAATGTAAAGGGGACGGTGGTGCGTGAGCTGTGCAATGTAAAGGGGTTCAGAGGTGTAGGGAGATGTGCAATGTAAAGGTTTTTTTTAAAGCTCAGACAACCTTTATAAATTCTGGACTTTGAACGGATGTAGAGAAGAGAAGACCGCAGATAAACATGTAAACATATAGGAGGATTTGTTTCTATGTGCATCACCTGAGGTCAGTCACTTCACTGGGTATGTGTAATGGTTTACCCACTTTATAGCAAACACATAAACACAGTTGGGACTGTAATTTAACCACCATATGTTTATGCCTTTGTTGAACACTATCCAATTTTGAGAAAACGTATTTGTACCTAGCAATGAATGATGACACATTCTGACTGCTCTCTGAAGCAGTTTCCATTGTGAATGGGTGCTGATGATTATAATACAAGCTAGCAATAGGAAATTCCCCAGCCCACTACTGCAGCAAGATATCCTTGTTTTAATTCTAAAGTGGGTGTAAACATATGTGTGATTTCTGGTAGTTGTACTTCCACATATTTGTATGCATCTCCATTTTCACATTTTACAAGTTGTGGTGATAGACCACAAAGACATCTGCTGAAAAAGAAAAAACTAGGGAAAAACGTAAGACTAGACAGCAGTTAGAGAAGAAATATGAGAATAGAAAAGCAAACAAGATCAGTCTGAACAGTCTTGATATGTCCCGTTTTGTTTTTAAGACTCCTTAATATGGGCTCTGAGGCCCGTACACCATTTATTCTGATCTGGTTTGCCTGCAGGGAGCTCAATGTAATTCTATTGTCATGCAGCGGCTGTACTGACACAGCGACTTATCCTAATGTGAAGGTGTGCAGGTGTCAGTGAGCAGATCATCAATGTCTTTGTCTGTACAGTTGCGGTGTCCATTCTCAAATTAGGACGAGTGGCTGTATCTGTACAGGCACTGTAACTGTTCTCAAATTAGAATGAGCAACTGTAACTGTACACAGCCGCTGTGTCCATTCACAAATTAGGACGAGTAGCTGTGTCCACACAGCCTCTACATCCCAATAGACTTACACACAGCACCTGTTGGGTCAAGCCAACAAACAATTCAGTCATGGCATACGAGCCTCAGTGTCCCTGTAAATAAGTCCTATATAAGCAGAGTGCACAACACTGTAGGCAGCAACAGACTACTTTTCCAAGCATTGAAACTAAGAAGGAACATTTTTATCAGAGAAATATGAATAAGAAACACTCCTTTCTATTTAGAGAGCCTAAGCCCAAAGCCAAAGTAAATAAAGAGACTGGAAGAAGCGACTCTTTCCCTAATCATGTAACATATCTTACAAATGACGTTGTGATAACTCAACGCATTTCAGGGATCTACATTCCCTTCTTCAGGGCTGAATGAGTTGTGTAAATAGAGCAGAAGGAGAAGAGAATACTTTTAACAAAACAATGTTTTGGCTGAGATCCAGCAGGGAGCAATGTATGAGAAGATTAACCTTTGGGAAATGACCACACTGCTCTAGAACACAGTGATTGTGAGTGCTTGCTTAAAGAGAAGTGTGCTCATGACCCAATACCTTCAATACCCTGACATGACACAAGCATGGGGATCATAAATAAATAAGTCACAGGTAATTATCTGCACGTGTTCCAGGTCAGCTTAAAGTATTTAAACAAGCCTGACATTCAGACAACCTGCAATTTCCAGAGAGGAGGTCAGAAATGGTAACCTCTGTGTTTATTTTATGACAAACTCCCTTTAAAAGCAAATAAAATGTACAGGTGTTTGAGGCTCTATAGTGTTTCAGGTTACCAAGAAGGTAAGTATCAGGGGTGGACTGACAACTCATGGGGCCCCCGGGCAATAGGGGATCAGGGGCCCCTGTGTCCTTGCCCAAACTCAAAAAAGCCTATGAAAAAGGTACCAGGGGCATCACATGGGGCCCCCTACTGACCCTGGGCCCTCGGGCAGTTCCCGAGTTTCCAAATGGTCAGTCCGCCCCTGGTAAGTATACAAACAGTAACTGGCTAACCACCAGTGAACTATTACTAAGAAGTATGGGGCAGATCGTGTCACATGGCTGATTCTGCCCCTACAGACACTTCAGTATCATAAAGTGAAAATTCTGCCACCTCTGCCTCAATGCTGCAGAAACTTTCACTAGCAAACAAACAGTGACAAATATTGGTTATTTACTAAAACTGCGTGGTGCAAAATGTGTTGCAACTCTGCATAGCTTCCAGGTTTTCATTGTCAAAGCTTAATTGAACAAGCTTTATTTGGAAGCTGATTGGCTACCATGCACACCTGCACCAGATTCTGTGTGCACCAGTTTTAGTAAATCTCCTCCAAAGTGACATATCACTGTTTCTGGGAGCAGTTTTGTAGGATATTATAAGTTTAAGTTTTTTATCACCAGAGAGGTGCTACAAGGGCAGAATTGTCCTTGTGACAAGAACCTAACAGATGAATTTTATATTGCAGTATGGTTGGCCTTTGGAAAGTACCTTACCTGGAAGACTGAGGATCATACTGACTTGTGTCTCCATAGGAAGAACTGTCATATCGCGTTTCCACTGTGGTAGTTGTTGTACCTTTTTCCTGTGAATTATGGACAGTTCTGAAAATAAGAAGATTTTCCAGGTAAAACATAATTAAAAGGTTATAAGCAAGATCCTATTATCACACTTAGAGACAAAAACTTTGTTAATATATATCCAACGCCAACTTCTATTTCCATTTTGCATAGTACATAGAGTGAGAAAAAACCCTGCCAGGCTTTTGTGTCTGTATCATATTGGGGAAATTTACCTTTACTTTATGTGCTGTAGACACACCAGGAAGCAGGTGGAAATTGCTGCACAATTTGGGAAATGTAATTTTAAGCAGTTGTCGCCAAAGCAAATGTCCCCATGGAAAGATTTCCTCTCTATTCAGTAGTCAACAGGACAAACAGAACATAAATCCCTCCAGTGGTGACAATTGCCATTCTAACCCTTCCCTACTCTATTCAAAATTGTAAAAAAAATGATTTTCGAAACACTTTAAAAACTAGCTTATCAATTTAAGAAGATTAACATGACAAGAAATTTGTAATTTTAGCAAACAATACTATAATCTCTACAAAAACATATGCATGCTGCTAGCTGTTGTATATCATTCCTATGTACACACACTACATTGATGTTCAAAAAAAGGGGGGTTACAGGTGAAATATTAACCCATTTTTAAAGGAATGCATGCATTAACAATGAAAAATATCATATTTAGCAAATGGTGGCTAAGTGACTGGTATTCTTGCCTGACAGTGCTAAGGTTCATGGGATAGGTATATCTGTAAAAAAAAACATGCAAAAACAAGGAGAATATACAATCTCCATGCAAATTACTGTTTTCATGGAGATTGTATATTCTTACCTGTGTTTGCATGGGTTTTCTCTTACATTCTGAAAACAGTATAATAAATGGCATCTGACCAAACTGCCTCTAATGTGTGTGTAAAAAAGATCTCAATATGGGGAACAATATTGTCAACAAAATCTAGGTATTGAATATATTCCAGTTTACAGGCCTGATGTATGGCATTCAAGGCTCATTTTACTTTACTCTTTGAATAATTTACCAAAACTGCAGCAAGCCAAACTTAATAGGGTAATCATTTTGCACCTTTGGGGCTCTTCTGTCCGTTTTACTGTTTTTAAGTAAAGCTTTATGTAGCAAATTACTTTATTCAGTAAATCCAGCCTTCAGTATCAAATGTTTTGATGCCCCTGCTCTGCCCCCGTGCCAGGTCACTGTTCAGGCAAAGTGCTCTCCTATTCCAATTCATTCTTAGGGGGCCCATCACCATGGTGGCTTACCTCACTGGATAATAAGAGAGGAGAAGGCAGGAAGGAGCGGGCAAGATTTGGCACTACCATGAACAGCCAAAGCTTTGCCCAAGTAGAATAGCATTTGAACAGAGCAATTCTGGATAGACTAAAGAGAACTTAGGCCCTCTGTTGTTTCTTTATAAATGTATGTGCCCCCCTTTTGGTTTCCTCCTTCACTTTTTATTACATATAGCAATTTTTTTAAGTGTATCAGGAAACCATTAGAACCCTTACTTACGCTTTTCAAATTTCTGATCATATGCTCATTATTTTTTTTGTAGCATTGCAATAGAAAAAAAATTACAAACATTTTTTTTAAAAATGCCCTTAATTTTATTGTAAACCTTGTACAAGAAACATTATTCTAGTGTTGTAAAGAAGGGACAAAATGCACAATAAAATTTAGACCCATTGTAATACTGTCTAAAGAAAGCCTTGTCTGCCCCCCCCCCCCCCAAAAAAAAGAATATAGATGCCTCAGTATCATAAATAATGGCAAAGCTATACCTCCATAGAGGGTTAACAGATGTGGAAGAGTAAATGGTTAAATAAATACAATCAGATTCATGGCTGTAAATTACTTTAAGTATCTTGGTTATGCTTAGGTACTAACTGGGTTACAAATACATTATTTTATTAATGGTAAAAGTATTTCAAGAATGGGATTTCTTCAAGTAGATATCTTTATATACATATACATGCTGTTCTCCTACCGTGTTGATCTGGTATCGTGGTCTCCTAGATAATCTGTGTATACAGGATCTGTGGAGCGAGTTGTAGTGACTGTAGTACGTGAGCTGGATCTAATTCAAAGATAAAGTTGGAGATGTTGTTAATAGAATATCTATGGTATGTACATACTTATGTAAACATAAACCATACTGTATACAATATAGAGGTCTGTGTCATGTACCAATACAGCTGCTCTACAGATATACAGCTTCTGATAGAACACTCATGAGCCATTGCGAATTCAAAAACAGTGACTCCAGGATAGGAAATAACTAAGTGGATCTCCCAAAATAAAGGTGTTATTAAAGTTTTTAAAGTGTTTGGCATCCCATCATTTTATTTACGTGATATGTGGCTGTTGTATCATGTACTTTTGTTAAAAAATATCCTGTTCTCTTTGTATTGCTTCCTTTGTGTAAAATACCTGGTGATCTAGCCAGTCATCCTGCTTTCATATTGCAAACGGACCATGCTAGGCATGCCAGCACATCCATCGCAGTGTGGTCAGTTTCTGGCCGTGCTGGGAGCACAACCTGTCTGTCCTTGAATGACACCCCCCTCCCCTGCAGGCTCCACACCTACCTCTCTAAGCCCATTATATTGTTGAGAACAGACAGAATGTGATCACTTATATATTAAAAAAAAAGTATTTATAATACATATAAACTAAATAGGTTGTTTTAACAGGCTAGGGTTCACATACTTTAAAAAAATAAATGTAAGGATTTCCATATACAACTCCTCAGGCATAATACTTAAAGTAAACTCAGCTTTTCTTTGTATTAGCCTCCTATAAGCCTCTGCACCCATCACAGAACTTAGAATTGAAGAGGGCTGGGCAGTACTGCAAACCAACCAGACTCTACTGCACTGTACAGTGCTGCCAGACTACTACAAAAAGCTTGCTGTAAGAAAGAAAGAACGTCAAGATTACATCATGAGCATGCTGCCACTAACTCACTAACTCATCACAGGTCACAGCAGATCCTTGACCAAGCTGTGTTGTTTTATTCACAGGAGAAAAGTGAGGTCAGGGACCAGCCTATGCTGTCTGGAGGAGGAGAGTGAATGTCAAGAGTATCTGAACAGAATTACAAATTCTTTGCAAGGCAAAACAATATAAATATTTTACTTGCAACAAATGTTCAATCCAACTATATATTTAATTTTTTGGCTATAGTGCTGCTTTAAGGTCTGCATTTACCCATAAAGCCCCCACCCTATATATACCTGTCGTCATGGCAGCTCTAGGAGAGGTAGTAACTTTGAAGATTACACATACACAATGAGGTAGTACCCGATTTATAAGGGGGCAAAAGGACCAACTGCCCTGGGCTCTCTGGCAGAAGCACCCCCCCCCATACAAGAATAATATAAGAATATAAAAAATATTAAATCATAGATAACAATAAAATATTATAAAATATATAATCACAAGAAATGACTTCCTTTTAATAAATGTAGCTGTAAAGTAACTCTGGACTGGTATATTGTATCATTGTATCATATCATTAAAACAAAGTTTGATAGCTCAAGCAAAGCACACAATGGGGCTCAAGCAAAGCACACAATGGGGTTGATTTACTAAAGTCAAATAGACTGTGCACTTTGCAAGTGAAGTTACACTATTATTTAAATTTGGTCATCTCTCCCTCTCTCTCTCTCTCTCTCTCTCTCATGATCTGACCATCTTTACAGTGTTACTATACCCACAACAGTAAAGTTAGTCTGTATATGCAGTAAAGCATGCTGGTTATACTCACTGTAGAACCTAAGGGGTTAATCCTCTGCATGGTTAACAAATGCTGTTTTCTCCTGTTTTCTTTGATCCTTCCCTTCTTCCAGTGCCCCCCTCTTATCTCCTGATAAGACATATTTTGTGGAGTCACTCTACACATGCTCAGATTGGTGCGTATTGCTGGAGATATTTTTTTTCCCATGGAAGAGTCCATGTGATCAGCACAGGGCCAATCAGCACTGTCCAGACAGAGGTCAGGGGTTCTGCATCATCCTAGAGCACAATGAAAACTCATCCTACAAGCTTTAACCAGTGCTCGGCTGGACACTGATAGTAGTTATAAGACTGCTATTTACTGCTGATGAGAAAAGGTATTTAGCAGTTTACATTTACTAAAATAATTGCATTTCTATGTTCTGTGTACTGTGGGAGACCAGATATAGTCCACTGAGTATATAGGATTATGCCTATTAAAAGGGAAGGGTGGAGGAATGATTGGAAAAAGGTTTCCAAACTACCCATAAAGGCTTTCAGCTGCTGTCAAATGCATTAGTGCTTGCTAAAAACAACCAGATCAAATGTTTCTATCCTGCAATGCTTGGCCAATGCTGGTATCTCAACAACCCAAGCTCCCAAGGTCTTCAGCTAATGAGATTATTACATTTCACTATATTACAACGTTTCTGTGCCCAATTGATGTGTGAATATACATCTAACAATTACTTATCCTAGCACCAGTTATGATTTATAGATTATTCTAATTTCAATGTTAAAGTGTATCTAAACTCAAAAACAAATATTTTTATGCTGCAGTTTACCAGTTCTTAGATAAGGTGGCTTCATTGATTTTCTTGTTTTCCATCCCTGTTCCCCTTTATTTTAACCTGGTAATCCAGCTGACAGGGAGTGACAGTGACACTGCATTTCAGGCAAGATAACCATGTATTTTCTGTAGCTGCTGAAAACGTTCTTAGACTGAAAATGAAAACTAATTGCAGCTGCCACATCTAAGCTGCTATATAAAAGTAGAAGAAAACTAATACCAATTCTTAAAAAGGTTCCTTTCCTCCTACCTATCCTGCCTAACCTGTATAAAAAAGGATCTGTTCTCCTCCCCTTTTTTTAATCTGCTTCAGTTTGGTCATGTGATCCTGAAGCTCCATGTAAGGGATCCCTGTACAACGGCTGTGAATTCTGGAATCTGTGACATCACCCATAGGTTCCCATGGTCCAGCTTTTGTTGGTGCTCCCTCCTCTTCCCTGCAGCAGCTGCTCATTTACAGAGGGGAGTTGGAGCTCCAGGATCATGTCACTAGACTGGAGCAAATTCAAAACAGGCAAGTATGCAGATCCTTTTTTATAAAGATTATGCAGGATAGGTGGTGTAGGAGGGAGGGAACATTTTTAGTAATAGTAATAAATAGGCTTTTCTACCACTTTAATTTTTTTAGGTTTAGATAAATTTCAAAATCGCTTCTGGATGATAAATGTGGCAAAATAGCAAATTGTAGAGGACACGGTTCCTATAACCCAAGCATTATGTTAATGTCAAACAGTAAACAGAGAGAAGTCATTTAATAATCTGCAGTGTTGGGAATCTTCTCTTTCTCTGTCTCAAGGATGACGTGAGAGGGTCACACGAGGTAGAGTAATTGGAAGGACGGTGAAGCAGAGGAAGATGAGCAGACTCCTAATCACTGGTGACAAGCTGGAGACAGCTGAATGGAAGAGTCCTGAAAAGAGCCCACAGGCCCCTACTGTACATTAACCCCTTGGCTGGCTTGGAAAACCTAACCTACATTGGTCATTGTTAATCAAAACATGAGAAAGAAGAATTGTTCTGGTTTCTCTTAGCTTATTCCCCTAGTACAGAGAAGAATCTGATTGGGCTATGGGTTCTGAACAAAGTAGTTCTTTAAGACTCCCTTGATGCTCATGGCATCTCTGCATCATTCAAGAGTACAGGGATGAGTATAACAAGGTACTCCTATATTTACGAATCCAGCACAGGTTATATGCTGGTTCTGGAAGGGTGAAGCTGAAAGTTTAGCTATGAAGATAGCAGATGACATACCCTTGTTTCCCGTAAGCACAACGACAAACAGTTGCTATACACACGGCGTTAAACAATTATGTCAGTTTTTCAGGCAGATCCAATCGGACCCCCCAGGCACCACAATGGAATGGTGTATGTAAACAGTCTTGTGTCTGTTTACATCCACCTGCCTCTAATTCGATCCGGTCTGCTAAAAAGAAAAGGGACCTGTTCCTCGTGGATCGGATCGGAGAGGGCAGTCAGGTGGAAATGGACAGCCGGTCCATTTACATCCTACCACCTATAAAACACAGCAGGCTGTGTCCATGTCTGCTCTGCATAAACAGAGCGGACACAGACCTGTCATCCTCTCTGCACTGTACAGCATGGGATCAGCGGACAGACCCCTAGCTAAGCAAATCAGAGTCCGCCCCATGTGAACACAACAAAAGAAATCATGTTTGGTTCCATTCCGTTGGATGTTCTGCCATGACCAATTGCTCTTTTACAAAAAAATGGTGAGTTTAATGATCAAATTGATCACTTTGCATAATCAAAAGCCTCGTTTGCACGAGTGCTGTGGTCTGTAGAGCATAAAGGAGTGCCTCATTTATCTGGCTGGAGCTGTGTGCAGTCAGCTTGTGTGTTATTTATGTACAGACACAATCCCACTTTCCTAATGTGTCAGGCGTGCGGGTGACAATGTGTGCTCGAGGCTGCTTATCCACCACTGCACACCTATTACATAAGGACCAGCAGCACTGCGCCCCCATAAAGAAACATGGAATGCCTGCACACAGCTCCAGCAGCATAAACAAGGCACTCTGTCACACTGTATGGACCACATGACCTGTGTGAGGCCTTCTTCTACATATATGTGAGTCTTTAGTCGAAAGGTCATTATATTGAATGACCATATTGTTATGTATGCCCAACATTAGATGACAAATATAAGCAGTTGGTATAATGTTCACACTGGGGAAACTGCCCTTACTATACTGACATCACATAGGATGTTGAACTGTATTCTACCTTAGGTATTTGTACTCCTAAAAAAATGCCCTGGCCCTTTTTATACATTTAAATCACCTAACATGTCATCCACTTTGCTCTTCTCTTTTTGGAGACAACTACTGCAATTAGGGCCAGATTTAGACCCTGGTGGCATTGATGGGGAAACTGCATATTACATATTTTTGTATTACAGCAGAGTTCCACCCAATAGTGAAAGCTCTGCTTATCTGCCTCCTCCTCCCCCTCCGCTGCCACATTTGGCTCCGTTTGGGGGGGGGGAGTGG